CAGGGCCTCGATGTCCTCCTGGAAGGACTTCTTGTTCCTCTCCAGCTCTCGGAGGCTCTCCTCAGCTGCGGCCACCTCCTCCATGACCTTGGAGAAGCGCTCGAAGTTGATGTAGGTGTTGTTGGGCGGCATGCTGGAGTGGGATTTGATGGTGTACTCCTTCAGGCGCGTGGTCTTCAGCCGCCGGCGCTCGGGCTTCTTGCAGCTGTCTTCGTTGCGGACGTTCCTCCTCTTGATGACCTGTGGAGAGGGGCCAGCGGGGGGTGGGCAGCCTCAGCACCCACCCACAGCCCGCCAGCAGCACCAGAGCAGCCTCGGCACCCACCCACCCCACAGCCCGCCAGCAGCACCAGAGCAGCCCCAGCTGGGGCGTGGGAGAGCAGCAGCTCATCGACATCCGCCCCTGACCTCCTGGATGCCCAAAAAGGGCCGATCCTTTTGCTTCTCACCTTAATCCAAGGGTGCTCCAGGCTCTGAGCGATGGTCATCCGCTTCCTGCAACGAGAGCAGGGCTGAGATCGAGGGCAGAGGCTTCGTTACCTCTCTCCCAGTCAAACTCCCCGAAAAGCAGCTCGGATCCTCCCGCTGCTGGGGCACGGGTGAGCCCACACAAGCTCGCTGTGCTCAGGGGGCACCTCAGACAGGGGGCCTGGGCAGCCTCCCAGGAGCAAACACAAGCAGAAGAGCCCACAGGAACCTCCCGACTGATGTCCAGTCATGCAGCACTACTGCTGCCACCCCAGCACAGGCTCCTGGGTGCTCCAGCCAGCCCCCAATCCCTCCCAAATCCCACTCCATCCCTGCTGCACCCTTGGGATGATCTCAGAGTTCACCCCATGCCTGACACAGGGGAAGAGATGTCAGTTTCCAGATCCTACAAGCAGGCAGGAGGGAAACAGGGGGGGATAAATAGGATGTATAAACAAGCAGCACAGCAGGGATGTTGCATGAAACCCTCAGAGGTGAAACCCAGTGCAGGCAGGAGACATGGAGGGACCGTCCCCTGTGCCGGGGGTACCCCCAGCTCTGCTCCCTGCCTCTCACTTGGGGTCCTTGACGAGCAGGCGGCGGATGAAGTCCTTGGCCAGCTCACTGGTGTTGCTGAAATACTCCTCGTCGAAGTCGTAGTTGACAGCAGATATGTTGGTCAGGGTCTCCTGCTTTGTCTCCCCCAGGAAGGGGGAGGCTCCGCTCAGCCTGCAGAGAGAGGGGGGTGTCACACCCCAAAAAGGCAACGGGCCCGAGGCAGGGGACTCGCCCCGCAGCACCCACCACCCCCAGGCCCTCTGTATACTCACAGGATGTAAGTGATGACCCCGATGCTCCTGGAAGAGAGAGGAAGAGGAGGCTGAAGCCCCACAGAGCGCAGCCAGGCCCCTCTCCCTGCACTTCCAGCAGGAGGGGGGAGACACAGGCACGAGCCCAGCCCCGGGGACTGGCTGCTGGTGCCACTGGAAGGTGCTCAGGAGGGGACTCACTCACCACATGTCAGCCTCCAGCCCCAGGGGTTCGTAGTTGACGATTTCTGGGGCTTTAGAAGGAAAGAGGGGAGAACACAGGTTTATTCTGGGGAAGGAAGCCTGTCCTCAACAGCTGCCCAGCCCTCCAAACCTCCAGAGCCCAGAGCAGCCCCAGAGGAACATCACCAGCAAGTCTCACCTACAAACTCTGGGGTGCCAAATATATTCTTGAATTCATTCCCAGCTTCGATCTTGTGGGCGATGCCGAAATCGATGAGTTTGATGCGAGGGTTTGGCACGTTCTTGTCCAGCAGCATGATGTTCTCCGGCTGCGGGGGGAAGAGGACACGGGCGTCAGGTAGGGAGAGACCCCAGAGCCAGCCCCACAGCCCCTCTTCTCCCAGAGGGCGATGCGCTTGGAGTGCAGGTAGTGCACCCCGTCCAGGATCTGCTTGAGGAACTGCGTGGCCTCCTCCTCCGTCAGCGACTCCTTCTCGGCCAGGAAGTCGAAGAGCTCGCCGCCCGAGACCAGCTCCAGGATGAGCACCACGTCCGTCTTGTTCTCGAAGACGTCGTGCAGCGTGATGATGTTGGGGTGCTGGATCTCCCTCAGGATGTCCACCTCCCTCTCGATCTCCTCCCGGCTCACGCCCCGCCGGCTGGACGACAGCCGCCGCTTCTTGATGAACTTGGCCGCGTACTCCAGCCCCATCTTCCTCTCCCGGCATTTCCGGACGATGGCAAACTGCCCGCTGTGGGAGGGGAGGAGGAGGAGGTGAGGGGGGGACACACGGCTTCCCGGGGGTCTGTTGGCAGTCAGGATCCCCCCACAGGAGCTGAGTCCTGCCTGCTCCCCAGGCTCATGCACCCCGGCGCCGCTGGAGCGGGTGTGTAAACCCCCAAGGAGAATCTCTGACACCTCCCGGGAGACTCGGGTGCTGCTGTGACCACCCAGCGTGGGAGATGCCCCAGGGGTGAGCCCCGGAGCCCAGTGGTCCCAGGGGACCATAAAGCTCTGCAGGGGATGGTGGGCAAGGAGGGGGAAATGCCTGGAATTAGAGTAACTGGGACTTAAAGGCACGCTCGGGTC